CACCCCGCCCTCACCCCGCCCCGCGAAGCCGCGCCGTGCCGCACCACGTCCCGCTCCGCCCTGCTGCTTTGCTGGGCCAGTAGGTTTACTCCACTCTGACTCCGACACTGCCGAAATGCTTGCGAACCAAGTTCCTTTCTTTGGGATCGTGTGATTCGTATTTGCGGGGATTCAATTCTTGAATTCAATACTTTCTCCTGCAGGTGGCAAAGAATCAAGTTTGTGCTGCGGGAACCTATCCTCTCTCATGCATTTTGCAGTGTTATGCCGCACGTGCCTGCACGGCCTGCACGTGCCAGCCTCGCCCACCCCTGCTACTCTGAAACCCCCCAACACTGAGCATTCTCGAGCATTGCACACTAGAGGATAGCGAAAAAAAGGATTTGAGATATTGAAGTGGCGGGCTATATGGAAAAGTTGTCTATTAAGATATAGAATCCAGTGCAATTTTTATTTTGAAATCGGACAATATCTTCCGATTGCGCAACGCGTTCAAAGTTATGCATTACCTCTTATGGAAAAAATCGGAAAAACCATCAAATAGTGAAAATCGACTATTTAGGCTTTGTATCTGATGTTTTTCGAAAATCTGTTATCAGAAATGCAATCTACGCCATAATAGGCACCCAGTGATCTTTCATACTGAGTGGTTCAGTCCCGTCCAGTTACCAATTTCAGCCAAAATCGCATCAAATTGCAAAAAAGTCATGAAATTTTGCATCCTTCACCGCTCAAACGATGGATTGCATTATCAAGTATGCGTGAGCTAATTATGCATAACTTTGAACGCGTCTCGCGATCGGAAGATATTGGCCGATTTCAAAACAAAAAATTGCACTGGATTTTACACCTTAAAGGACAACTTTTCCTCATATATCCGCCATTTCAATATCTCAAATCTCCTTTTTTTTCGCTATCGTCTATTGCACATTGTATGGAAAGTGTACATGACACTGTGTATAATGTTGAGAAATCCCAGAGCACGTGTAGCAATTTATTTCACTAGCATGCTACTTCGTGAAATCCTAGAGATTTTTTCTGACAGTGTAATTAAATTGGTTTTATCCTCTTATTTCCCGGAGAGGAATTAGTGTCACTTGCCCTCCCTGACGCGGTGTGTCACGCTGCTCTCGCGTCTGGAAGCACCATCGAAGTCCCGTCCACCATCCTCTCCTTCGTGGAATGTGTGCGGTTGCACGTGGATGGGTAGCCTAGCTCAGTGGGAGCGGGGTGCCCAAAGGGAGGGGGGGGGACATTTTTCTTCGACATTACCGTGGGAGAGCGCCACTTTGCGTGGATGAGGCAAAGCTGGCTGGGCTGGGCCGGGCCAGCAGGGTGGGGATAAGCTCCCCGAGAAATCGAAACCCGTTTCCTCAGAGTCGCGCCCCGCTTCGCGCCCACCGCCACCAGCCACCTCAGACATTCGGCGCAACGTCCTGCCGCTTTGTACCACCCCATAGAATAAGCAAAGCAAAGCCGTTTGCCCAGAGTTCCTTCTTGTTTTACGTTTATTTATTCCAATGGAACATGGACCGATGTTATTTAAACTGACCCAAAGCAGCACTGGAGGTGCTGAAATGTACCACTTCCCGAACCACGCAGGTATTTCGGCCAACGCCCACATGAGCGCACACTTTCCACAATACAACTGCGCCTACGCTTTGACGCGTGTAATCCTTTGCTTCAAACAGGCGCGCGCTCTGCAACGCCCACAGTGCATTGCGTTGCAAGAGTAGGTCAAGCGTGCTCCACACCTGGCACCGCCACACGGCCAGCTAGAGGGCTCTCCTTTTCCTATACTTAGGGCGTGCAGAGTGCTTTGGAGAACGTTCGAACAGCAATCATTACGAACTGTTGGCGTGTGCCACGAAAAGTTATTTCGTCTGTGGTTTTACGTTCCCCTGCCGAAGTGTAAGTGTGTAGTTTTGGCTTTGGTGGCATGGTAATATTTCCTTTTATTTAGGGAACGGGTCTGTTTGCTCTGTCCTTCACTGTAAGAAAACCTACAGTCATAATTACTGTACACTAATAAACTAAGTGTACTGCTGCAAGTTGAATACTTGCAAGTGTTCAACTCCGTAGTAGAGCACTTGCTAGTGTTCAACTCGATGGGTGTGCACTTGAAAGTGTATGTACAACACTCCTCTGATGAGCACTTCCTACACAGTGAGCGTTCAATCTAAGGAAGTGTTTAACAGGGGAGTTGCATGCACACTTCCAACTCCAACTGCATTTTTTCAACTTGTTTAAAATCCACAGTTTAACAATGCTGTTCATTTGATTCTTTAAAAGTTCTGTTGCAGCGTCTTTTACAGCCATACTGAGCATTGCACTTGATGTTTCACACTTTTGCGTTGCTGTGTCCGAGCAGCCGTCGGGGGTCGGGGTGTCGGGTGGAGCGATTGACTCTATGGCATGCCCGGCCGCGCCACTCCATACCGCACTGGCTTGCGGGCGGGCGGTAGCACGCGTACACGAGTGGAAGAGAGAGAGAGAGAGAGAGAGAGAGAGAGAGAGAGAGAGAGAGAGAGAGAGAGAAAGCAGAGGGAGAGAACGCACCACCACCACCGTGGTTGATAGAATGGAGAGCTTTCGCGCGCACATAGGACGTGGTCTATGGTGATTGGACGGAAGCGTCAGCTTATCTCTCTCCCACTCACTCTCTATCTCTCTGTCTGTTTCTCTCTCGTCTCTCTGCATCTCTCTCCCCCTTTCTCTCGGTTTTTTGCTCTCCCTTTCCTTTTCATTCTCATGCGACTCCCTTTGTCCCCCGACTCAAGCGAGCTTTGCCTTACATCTCTGCTACTCTTTGCCCCCTGTCCACGTTTTGCATCTTTCCCATTGCAAAAAAGAAAAAAACAAAGTTCAATGTTTTGACATTTCACTTGATGAACTATTATGAATTCATCTCCCAATTCAACTCAATTAAAATATAATAATATCAAAATGATAAGTGATTTCAATATTTATGTAAACATTCCATCTCTCTTTCCTCCACCTTTTGGTTCACCTGTCACACTTGGCTTTCTTTTTCCTGTTTGTTGCAATCGCGATTGTGTTGGTTCCTTTTGTTTGCTCTTTTCTTCTTCCCCCGCTGGAACATTGCGTCACCGTTAACGCTCGAACGATCCAAGGGCAGGGGGCAGGCCGTTGTAGTCACATCAAGGTTTTAGGCAGATAGAGAAACCTTTCACTGAAAGCTAACAGTGACTGTCTCTTTCAAAAGACATGCCGGTACATGTCGGTATTATTGTTGAGGGGGTTTTGTTAAATATATGTTTCCACGTATTTACCCTGTATACCTGCAACGATAACACTGGCAAGGGGTAGCTCGATCGTAAGGGGTCAGAGGGTAAGGTAGAACACAAGAATCGCACTTAACTTGTGAACCACCAAGCACTCACAAGTTCTAGGATGATGCTTCTAGTCGAGAGCCGGGGACACGTCTGCCGTCGTGTCACGCCGCACGGGCGCGCTGGGGCGCTCCCGTGACTAAAATGCTGGCGCATGCATTCGTCGCTTGTTCGTCTTTCCTAACCCGCTAATATTCAAACGGGTTACCCTGACAATTTTATAAAATACATAACTAATGCGTTTTGAAAACTTGAAGAAAATTTCCGCAACATCAAACTTTGTAATAATTTAGATTCTTTGCAACTACGAAGCCTATACTTTGCAATTACAAAGTGATGCTTTGCAATAGCGAATTGCGAAGCGATGAAACACGCTGCAAAGTGTTTGCAATTGCAAATCGTCACTTTGTAATTGCTCAGTAAATGCTTCGTAGTTACAAAGCATCCGAATACTCGCAGTTCTGCAAAGTATTGCTTTGAAGGAATTTTAAAAGTGCTCTTTGCAGACTGGAGAGTAGGTCGCACGAGCGCTGCCCAGCTCAGCCGAAGGCTGCGCGCTCCAACATCCTTTCAAAAAGGCGTCCTCGCCAAAACTTGTGCATGATGTCGCCGCGATCCTGAAATAAGATCAGGACTGGGTGGGATGGAGCG